AATAGGCTCTGCAAAGAAGCTGCTGCTTTTGGCTGAGGACTCATCTCTGGCTATCTTGAAAGGATAAGCAATGATTTAATAGGACAGATTTTATCTTCACTGCTGCATTCACATCATTATAAAGGCGGACTGTCCTTTATTCCCATTTGGCACAGTTATCCTCTCCTGTAAAAATCCTATTCACAATGATTAGAAAAGTTTGAAGAAAAAAAAAAAAACGTATTCCACATTAAACTCCCTGTAAAGTGATAACTGAAAGACTTGAGAACAATTTTAGGTACTCATTACAGACGGCGATGAAACTTTTAGTGATTCCTTTCCAAATGAATTTAAAGGAATTGTCTTTATACTGGCACTTAGCATGCAAGAGGATTTTTTTAATATGAGGGGGAAAAAAAGTTACTGCTATAAGACTGCTTTAGCTGTAGGAATTTCCATCTGCAGCAAGTGGCATACATAATCGTGGAAATGTGTGTGTTTAAAAGCTGTCTTTTTTAATGAAAAAAGTATTAAAATCAGAAAACATGCTGGCTTTCTCAGCTGCCTCTGCTGCACTGCCTTAAAACACAGTTTTAGAGTAGCGTCACTCACACTGACCCATTGACCATCGATGGCCCATAACACATCGGAGGTTAAAAGGAAAAAAAAAAAAAAAACGAACACACTGACAAAAAATGAATGCTCATTTCAATGCACTGCTAAAACCCAGCTCGTTCCAAAGACGAGCTGGGTACCTGGGTCTCAGCTGCTGGTTTCATTTCACTGTCCGTATTTCGCAGGTAAGGTTGACTGGAAGGGCATCGATACAGAGGCAGGCGCAGCTTGTTTTCAGAGAACGAGTCTTAACGCACAGCTGCTCTCAGCACAAGGCTGCAGAAGCCGGGCTAAGCGCACCTTGGGCGGGTTAGCTGTTTCCGAGCGACTTTTGGACATGCATCACCACGTCCAGCAGCGAGCGAGCCCCTTGCGCCTGGGCAGAGCAGCCCACCCCCGCTCCCAGACTGGCCACCGCGGTCACCTCGCCTCCCCCGGACCCCAGGCCCCGGCAGCAAGGCTCACAGGTCATGGTCTCCAGGCGGAGCATGCAGCAGGCAAAGTCGGAGAAGCCGATTCTCCTGGTGGCATCACCGTACCGCAGGGCTATCAGCCGGAGGAGATGCTCGTTGATGGTCAGGCCTGCAGGTGAGACATGGAAGAGAGGGGAGCAATAACACGGGGGACGACAGAGGAGCGCACCCTAGAAAGAAGCTGTTCCTCCTGTGACCTCCTGTCTCCAGCCTGGTCTGCAGCATGTTCCCCCCCACCGGCCTGGGCACAGGAGCCTGGGGAGGGCCACGCAACACCAAAGTGCTTCCAGTGACCTCTTTCAACTGCAGCTTAGGTCAGCAAGCAAGAAATGTTGAATTAAATAATGCTTTGCATTTTTACCTTTTATTTTCTAGAAGAAAGGGTGATTTTCTTTGGCTCATAACCATTAAAGTTTGAGCATAGCATTTACAATACCACCAGTGCTTTCTGCTAAGCAGGGAGATATCGTGTGCTCAGGCTATTATGCAGTATTGCATGCCCACGATTCTTAATTTTTACGTTTTCCTCTTACATTAGAAAACAGCGAAGGGTGCATTTCTTTTTTATTAGCTAATTATTTAGTTTTTGTGTCACACTCCATTTGGATGGAAATTTGTATTCAATTGAATGAACAAAAATTGCCTTTTCGAACGATTCTTTTATTAGTTAAATAAAACTCCCCTAAATGTGCTGGCTAAATTTCAAAAAAAAAAAAAAGGGAGGGGGGATTTAAATATATTTTGCACTTAAAGCTGATTTACCAAACAAAAGAGAAGTTTGCTGCAGAGTGCTGGACTGAGGACTTCAAGTTAATGCATTTTCTGGACTTCAGAAGAAGGCAGTCTCATTTGCTCACCCCTAGCTTTTAGTGGCTCAGCCAGAAAAGGAAAAGTAGCTTTCTAGCTTTTTCAACCAATTGTGAACTTCTCAATTCTAAATGCACTCATCATGGAGCCAAATTAGGTGAATAATCAGGAGAAAGGAAAAAAAAAAAAAAAGAAGGTGGGGGTAATGGTTTCTAGTGGAGGTGATATCACTGGTCATCAGGTCATATCACTGATGGAGGTGGATTAGCATGCCCACAAAATCTGGTTGCAGCCCCTGAGACGGAAAGGTCTCCAGCAAAGTTGCTTTAATTTCCTAAAAATTTTGTAAGCAGACATACAACGCTGAATATTGAAATAATGAAAATACATTTAGGCTTAAGATACATTTCAAATTGAGGCAAACCCAATTTAGATTTTTTTTTTATTATTATTTAGGGGGAAAAGATAGTAATTACAAAATCCGATTAATGAAATTTCTTCTTTGATTCTGGTTTCACAATTTTAAACCACTGTCAAGAACCACTGTAGCAGCGAGCAACAATTCCTTTTCAACACTTTAAAGACCATGGAAATATACTAAGCTCTATCTAAAGAGCGGATTCCAGCAAAGAGCTGCTTAAGAGATGCTACACTCACACCTCACACTAGCAAAACAGTGATGATTTGGCATGGTGAGGCCTAGGATATGCCTGCTCTGAATTTTATTCACCTAGCCACATTTCTCAATTAACCTCTTTAGCAAGAGCGAGGTGCAAGTCCTCTCAGCTGCCAAAATATGTTTCAGTTACCCGCTGTTGCTTATTTCTTGCCTTGCTCCCCATACCTTTTGTCCGTTGGTTTCCTTGTTCCGGTTTTAGTTAAGCTTTACGATACCGGCTATACATTTCCCTTTTCAAATAATTATTATTTTGATGCATTTAACATTGCCAGTGAGGTGTTCATAAGTACCCTAGGGCAGATGCTGGTGCCTTTCAGGACAGCACTGATAGCAGTGCAGGCACCCTGCTTTACTCTGGCTGAAGATGCGACCCATTACTATTACCCTTCGAAGCATTAAGACAACAACGAAATGTAAGCACCCATTTCAGTGTTTTGCTGAGGAGGGATGGCCACCAAACTCTTCAGGGCACAGCTGGTTGAGAGCTATATTTAGATATATTAGTAGCTTTTCTCAGAGGTAGCACCAGCCTCACAAGCTCTTTCTGGGGTCACCTGCTCTTTCTCATTTAAAAGCCTGGGTCATCCAAATGCAAAGCCAGATCCGTCTGGCTCAGGAGCAGGCAAGAATGGGCTTATAATTTTATTTTTCCCCCCACACTTATAACCGCTTATAGCATAACATGTATTGAATTAGCCAGTTAATAGTTTTTTATTTTTTTGTTTTTAAAGCCCTTCAAATATCTGCACTGTTTTGGCTGCCAGAACTTCTCACAGTGCAATTTTCCTCCCAGTTTTACATTTTAGCACCTTTCTTACAGAATCAGCCTTGCAGCTTCCTTTGTTATCTGGCACATTAGTGCTGCTCTTCTCACGCCAATGCTTTCTGGCTGCCACCGCATCCCAGGATGCGGCACGAATGCCACCGCTCTGTTCACCTCTTAGGAAGAGGAAAATTACACATATATCCCCCTGGTTAGTGGCTTCTGCTGATAACCTTTTTGCATTGGGTTCCTCCTAGGAACGATACAACTGAAAGCTCCAGGTAGCCAAATGGGAACTTCTCTGCAGCAAGTTTACAGGTGAGTTGCCGTCTCCGAGACATACTTCACGCACAAAGCCTCTGGAGAGATGGCCCAGCTTGAACTAGCACGAAGAGGACTGATGTACTCGCTGGAAGTTTCAGCCTTAGTGTAGCCAACAGAGGTCAGTACAAACTAAATAAGAGTCCGTCACTGTAGCTTTCCTTCACAGACTTATTCACTGCCCTGGAGAGAGACTGCATGAATTCCAATTTGCACCAAAAGGTGCAGAAATTGTCTGCCCCTTGCTCCTTTCCCCACTGTATTTTCTGTCCACGACCTACAGTGACTAAGGACAATCCAGTCTCCAGGCTCACGCTGACCCTAGGGTCTCTGTGCAGCTCTGCTAGCTTCCCTTCTGCAGTGCCAAACCTGGGTGCCACCGCACTGGTCAGTGCTCCTCCGCATCCCGCGCAGCAGGACCACACAGCAAGGAGAAGGCTTTGCACCAGAACTAACTTTCCATCTTGACTTACAGCAAAAAAACTGATCCTTTTGAGACAGGCAGCTCTGAACAGAGAGGTTATCTAACTGGCTTCTCTACACAGTCCAAGTCACTTCTTTCTTAAAGCTCTTTCTTCTTCCCTCTCTCCCTTTTCAGCCTTTCCTACACTGCCACAGGGAAAAAGAGAGCTGCTCAGCGCATCCAGACATACCTGCTGTCAGGATCGCACTCTTCAGTTCAGACACATCAAGAAATCCAGAGTGATTTCTGTCTTCCCTCTTGAAAATATCCTGTAAAACAGCACAAACATAGATTTCAAGCCTACATCTGCATTCCCCAAATTTAATACTACATCTAATCATGTAGGTTATTTTCCCTCCTTAATAAACAGACCATCCCAAAGCAGATTTGTTTCCAGAAGGAGCAGTAAATACACCCCAGCTCTTTGCAATACTGACCCACTGCTAGACACACATCCTAGGAAGTTTGTTCTCAGCCCTCCACCACTAATACTTTCCAGCAGTAAAGGCAACATCCTGTGCTAATAGATAGAAAGAAAGGGGTAAGGAAAAAGCAGAAGTTAAAAACAATTAGTCATCTCACTGCCCTTCTAACCTTTTTTTAGCATTAGCACATAAGAAATCCCACAATTTTAGGTGGATAGAAGCCTTTTGTTTTGCTCCTGCCCACAGGTTTATGCATGCAGAGAGCAAGAGAAATACCCACACCTTCGCTGACAGAGAGATACCATCCATAAAACATCAAGTAAGCCAGGAATCATCAAGCCTCAGAAGGGTGTGCAGCCATCTTCCCAGCACACCCCTGACCAAACCCCCTACAAGCCACACCTGCAGCCACTCTCAGTGGGAAGAGCACCTTCACTAGATGGGGAACGAGCACCACATGTGCCACATAGCCTCAGACCACCTCAGGTGGGATGAAATGAGCTTGAGTGGAATACCAAATTTCTTCCAGCCCACGCAGCTTTGAGGATTCAGGAAATCTTCCCCTCCTGAAGCAAGCCCGGAGGGAGAAGAACCTGACTCCGAGAAGCCATCTGAACTTAGGTGGGGCCCTAAACACCAAGCTATCATCCTCACTGCTTCCAGGCCTAATGCTTCTCCTGGAGCGGAGATGTCCGTGAAACCAGAGACAGTTTCATCAGACCCCATGCACTAAAAACTGCAGTGGTGATGAAGTGATGTTTTTCAGATGACTGCTTCTGAGAACTCATTTCAGCTCAGAAAGCTTTTAAAAAACTTCACGTGGTGGCACACAAACACAGAGAGTTCCATCACAGTCTGGGCCTAATGGGGCTTACAAGCTTTTCCCGCTTATTCCTCAATATTCTCCGCTTAAAATGCCTCAGCTGCTCATTGTGAGCGCTTTACACACCCCACCTAGTACAGTTGTCAGCCTTTGCATCAGAAGACAGAAATTGGACCAGCTAAGCTGCCCAACCCTTGCAATATGTTTTCCCACAGTTTTTTGATATCACAGAGTGCCTGCACCCTGCTCATGAAAAGCCCAAGAGTACAGTATTGGCAGAGAACAGAGGGCAGCCCACATGTACCGTGTACTTAGCAAGATGTCTCCAGAGGCTCCCAAACTCCTGCAGCGTGAGTCTTCCGTTAGAGTTGAGCTATGCATTTAGTTAAGAATCAAACAGATAACGAGAGCTGAACCTGACTATCTTCATTCCCCAGGATGCTACCTACGACACAGCTTCATTCACAAAAAGAAAGAGAAGAGATGCAGTCTCTGCTGCTTGTTACTTTGTGTGTGCCAAGAACTTTTCTGCTCTCAATTATATTTAGAATTAGACTCACCTTTTTTGGCACATTGTACAGCTGCTCATAAACAGCAGTCGATTTGTATTTATATGGTGCCTTTAACCACAAAGGATCCTGCAGTGATTGATCTGGTTTACATTTAGGCACTGAACACGGCAACCTTTGGGAAGGAACGAGACCCAGTGCTCCAGGCTGATGTAGCTTGCGCATTTTGCAGTGTCTCTGTGCGCAGGGCAGTGTAGCATCAACCTTGGCTAGATCCTCCAAGCTGAGCATGCACAGAAGGAGAGCATGAGAGGCTGATCCTCACCCCTGCTATCAGTAGTTACTGGTAGCCCTTCAGCTGTACATATGCTGTAAGCAAGGAAACACGTCCTCGCCATGGGCTGGTGTCAACAGACATCTTTCTGGGATGCTCTGAGGAATACATTAGGGGACTTCCTCACCTCTGTACATCGTCTAGATGTCCTATGCAGACATGCAACACTTCACTTAATGCAACGGGGATGGCAAAAGCTCTCTGAAAGCAAAACTCATCTCCAGTGAAATACAGGCAGACAAGTGCTACTGCCGTGAAACTTGGCTGAAAAAGGTTGTTCCTGTCTTTGCAGGCCAGGATAGGTCACACTGTATATGGGTTGTATGCAGCCCAGAGACGGACAAATCCATCTTGAATTAAAGCAGAGCAGTAGCTTTGCCAGCTCCTTGCACGTGCCATGCATTCACAGCATCCTCTTAGACTAGGAGGGCTTTGTAAAGAGGGAGAAATCTCTTTGGCTGGGTAGATGTAGCAAGCTGGTAAGAGAGAGGCACTGCCGATCATTTTTACTCATTCCTCAGTAGTTTGTAAAGGTCTGAAAATGTCTCAAACTTATTCCAAGGCATGGAAGAAAAGAGACAGCAAGTAAGCAAGCGAGAGAAAACACACCAGGGAGAATTTATGTTTTCATCAAGAAGCCCTCTTGTTCTACAACGGCCAGCAATGTATTTCCAATGTTGTCTTGTTAACAGTAAAAAGACTGCACGATCCATCTAAATAGGGAAGGTACACGCCAAAGGATGAACAGCCTTCCAGGCACACGCCTGTGATTCAGCAGTGACAGTGCCTTCCCCCTAACACCAGCTTTTGCTGGAGATGCTGGGAGAGCTAGCGCTTGGCTGCTGCCTTCAGAGGCAGGTGTGGGTGCAGGCAGGGTGGGAGAGCCGAGCC